TAGTGATTACACATTCAACCCTCAAGTGGACCTTGTTGAGATTTACCCTTTTATGCTTGTAGGAGAGAGACCAGCCCAAGCTCCGTCTGCTTTTCCCAGCTTTGGAACCCAGCACGTGAGGAAGCACAGCACAGACACACAGCACAACCAACTCTGTCTGTGCACAGCCTGTGTTCAGGCCAGTAAGAAATGCCACTTGGACCTTCACCTGAACCAGCATCCCTTCAGCGCACTGTCCTTCACATGGTATGACTCAGGGGTGTAATTCTTCCCCCCAGCTCACCAATCTCAGCACTGCCTGCTGCTGTTTCAACAGCAAGATCAATGTGGTTCTCCTCAGGGCTTCAGGGTGATCAAACCTTGGCCCCTCTCCCCAGAAACCCGCCTCTGCCGCCTGAGGCTTTTTGTTTTTAACCACAGACTCCACCAGTGATTCCACGGGGAAAAGAAGAATACACCAACACACAGGTGTGAAAGCCCTGGGGAATCCACGCTGAATAACCCCCCGCATGAATCTCACCAGCTTACACACACCTTTTTCTCAGCTTCACTCTGTGAATCCTACAGATCAGCTCTCCAAGGACAAACAGAAGAGACAGGACTTCTGAAGTGTTTCTAAATTCATTAACGCATTAGTGTTATTTCAAAGCAGTTCATGCCTCTAGACAATTCCAGTGTACCTGCGCATCTCCCTGAAGAGTTCTAAGGTCGCAGAAGATAACCCTGGGGGGCTCTGCAATTCCGTGGCTCCTCACCTTGACCTGCCTCTCCTCCAGCTTCCCTGGAAACTGGGCGCATGTTTGAGGCTCTGGTCTCTCTGTGCAGTTACTCCTCAATCAGAGGTGACCACCTCCTCCTGAAGATTAAACGCGAGCTGATGGAGAGCATCCAGCTCTTTACACAACTACAGCCACTGGCAAGCCCAAGTTTAATAATCTCCTACACTCGGTGCCACCACAGCTGTTCCTGGAATTTTACTTCAAAATGAAAAGGCGAGTAAACAACACTTTAGAATCTGCAGTCTCGTTGCTCGTAAGCGCAATTAATTCATGAGGCATAAATTTTTTATGGTACCTTACTACGGCTTTAGACAAGCAAATAGAGCAACAATTCTGCTTTTAACAGAAAAATCAAGAGCGACAGAAGCTTTCTTTCCTTCACCTTCTCCTGTTGGGAAAACAGTAGGGCTGGAGCTTATTGACACTTCGGATCCTTATCCAAAAGGAATAGGACAAGCAACTGGGCTTTATCGAATCCATTCTGACTAGATCTTCTACACTGGGGAAAGAGGATCAAGAGCATCGAGGCCTGACATATTTACATATCCATTGTCATTCATTTTTCTTCTGCCAACTAACTAGATTTAATCCTGATTACTCTTAATGAAACAACAGCTAATGCAACATCAAAGACTGCTCTCAGCTTTGAAGCCTAGATCCTAGTTCTTGTAGCTGTGACAATCCAGGACTAGGAACTTACTCCACACACTGTGCTTTCCCAAGACAATAAACAGCAACCTCACTTAGAGAAATTTTTACCCAAGAGAGAGGGAAAAGATGACCAATGTGACTGAAGATTATTTTTAAATGGTCTCTTTTAATGCATTCTGTGGTGGGGTGTTGGGTTTATGTGGCCAGGTTTTGGCAGCAGAGGGGCTAGAGGGGTGGCTTCTGTGAGAAGCTGCTGGAAGCTTCCCCCCCATGTCTGGTGGAATCAATTCCAGCTGCTCCAGGATGGACTCACGCTGGCCAAGGCCAAGGCAATCAGGAGCGATAACATATTCAAGAAGGAAAATAAAGTTATTGTGCAGATGTAATCGGGTCTCAGTCATCACTGAGAAGAGCAGAGTGAGAATATGTGAGAGGAACAGGTCTGCAAGCACCAAGGTCAGTGCAGAAGGAGGGGCAGGGGGTGCTCCAGGTTCTGGAGCTGAGGTTCCCCTGCAGCACGTGGAGAGCCACAGGGATGCAGAGTTCCCCCTGGAGGAGACCACACTGGAGCAGGGAGATGCCTGAAAGAAGGTTGTGAACCAGTGGGAAGCCCGTGCTGGAGTAGGGCCCTGGCAGGACCTGTGGATCCGTAGAGAGAGGAGCCCATGCAGGAGGCAGCTGTGCCGGTAGGACCCATGACCCTGTGGGGGACCCACCCTGGAGCAGCCTTCTGCCTGAAGGATTGACCCCACAGAAGGATGAACCATATGGGAGCAGCTCATGGAGAACTGTTGCCCATGGGATGGACTCACCCTGAAGAAGTTCATGGAGAACTGTCCCCCGTGGGAACGGCCCCAGGCTGGAGCACGGAAGGAGTCCAATTCCTCTCTCCCTTTTGAGTGTCAGGAACGAGTGATGAACTGACTGTATCCCCCAGTCCCATCTCCCTGCGCTGCTAGGGGTGAGGAGATAGAGCTTGGGAAGGCGGGGGGGGAGGGGGGAAGTGTTTTTATTTAACTTTTCATTATCCTGCTCTGATTTTGTTGTTAATAAATCCAGTTACTATCCCTGGGTTTAGCCTATTCAGCCCATGACAGTGATCGGTGAGCGATCTCTCCCTGTCCTTATCTCCACCCATGAACCTTTCACTGTGTTTTCTCTCTGCTGTCCAGTTGCAGAGGGCAGCGACAGAGCAGCTTTGGTGGGCACTTGGCATCCAGACAGGGTCAACCCACCACAGATGGTTATTCACTAGCCAAGTGAGTATTTCATCAATATTTTCCTAGGAGTGGTAAACTTTCAGACCGGTTGCAACTTAATTCCCTGAGCAGGTCCTTCTAGCAGCAGTTGCTAATACAGCTGGCATGTTACTTGCTATTTTTGTAATTCTTTTAATAAAGACAGTACCTCACTGAAGCTTCAGTGTCCCCAAAATTAGGTTATAGTCAAGCTTGTTTTGGTAAAAGGAAGACTGCTTCATACTCAAGTAAAACACTGCGTGGGTGGAGTATAGTGAAATCCTGTATTTCACAATATTTTAACTCAAAACCCAGCTGCAGTAAAATTTCAGTTTGCAATGCTAAAAAAAGCTGTAACCACAATGAAGTGCGACAAGTTTAAAGGCTTAAAACAAAACACAGTTCGCTGTGCCAATAATTCAGAGCTGCAGATGATTATCAAACCCCCAAACTTCACACCCTCCCACTTCTACATGAAAAGTTGGACACACGAAAATAAGAAGCTTAGTGAAGTGAAGTAGTAGTGATTTCTGGCATTAAGTGTGTTAATCAGTTCAAAGCTATTATTCCTAAACACCTTAGCTGACTACTTTGACAGCACCCAAGAACCTTTCAAGGCAGATACTTGCTTTATGCATTTAAAACAGGCCCCTCAGCCAACAGCGTAGGCTCTCTACCAGAGAGCAACTCAGAGCCCTAAATTCAGACTTTACCTCTCCCTGCTGATTTTACAGGGAGCCTGAAGTCAAATTATTTACGCTGCTTGCCTGCGATTGGTCTCAGGGAGGTTAAGAACTGATTAAGCACAATGTCCTGAATAAGAACAAGAAAACATCAAAGCTCTCACTGTGGTCTAGATTTGTATGGCACCACCTGGAAGTCCAAAGGACTCCATGCAAAATGCTAAAGCGTAGAAAATTCCTGTTGCACAGTGCTCACCACCTACGTAGGAACCATGCATAAAAAGAAGGGGGAAAACGTGCAGAGATGATGCCACTCTGCTAACAAGGATCATAGTTTAAAGCTGAAAGCATCCAGGCACTTGACACTGCTCTCGAAGGCTCAGCCCGGAAACAACTTCTAAATGCAATCAGGTTTTTCTCTGGTGGAGGAAGGGTTCTGAAAAGTCATCTCCGTGCCTCCAAGCTGCCAAAAGGAAATTCAAAAGTAATTTTTAGGCTTGGATGTTCGCAATCAACCACCTGATTTCTGATTACTTGGCTTTGGCAATGGTATGAAAATCAAGCTCAGGCAGGGCTAGTGATGGGAGAGATCTGAACCCAGGCTCATGAAATGCCAGTCTAAACTTAAGGCAACAGTTATATACAGAGTTTTTCCAGCTTCATGATACAGGTAAGTAGCTGGCTGCTCGTACTTTAAACATCTCCATTTGAGTACTCCCTGCTCGCTATGTAAAAAAAAAAAAATAAAAAAAAATTCACTGGAAAAAAAAAAATTCACTTTGGACATCAGTACTTTGACTGGCAAAAGAGGAGAGGGATGAAGTCACACTCCTTACGTACCACAGGCATTCTGCACTCAGATGTTTGAGTGGGCACTGGTCAGGTTTTGAAGAAGAGCAGGACAGCAGTGGGATAAGTCAGAAAGGCAGTGGATTAAGAAACAGGAGTAGGTTAAAGTTACTTAAGAACTGCCAAAGGCATATAAATGAAATACTGGAAAGCAAGCATTTTTAAGCACAGATAAGTTCCCTTGTGCCACTAAGCTGTGGCTGAAACCGCAGTGGCAGGAGAGAATATTTCAGTGGTACAATCAAGTCAAAACCAGTGACTTCTACACAGACTGAGATGGTCTCGCACACAGGCACATCTGCAGGGTCCTTGCACGCTCCTGGAAGTGCACACTGAAAGCAAGGGCACAGCCGAGGCTACTACAGTGTTCAAGGCAGAGCAAGTAATACCAGCACAACTGAAAGAGCACATTTAGAAATCCACAGCGAGGAGACCACAGAATTAGGTCACCCAACTGATTCAAGCTGCAACCTGCTCATAAATACGAGTCTGACCCAGACAAGTCTCTCTTATCTAACTGTTTCACAGGTGAGAGCAAACATCTGAGTTAGTAGGATGCAATTTGATTGCGGTAGGAAAAAGCAACTGCTTTAATAAACAGGAGTAGAAGTCCGTGCCCACCGAGCACACACAGATCCAGAACCTCCACAACAGCTTCATGAAAAGTCATATAAACCCCTAAAGTCTAAGGGGTTCTTAGCCACAACTTGCACTTGTACCATTTTGGGTGGGTTAGGATGGCTCCTAACCTTCAACAAAAAATACAGACAGAAATTAATACAAAAAAAGCCACGCAGCCATCATGAGAATTAAAACTTTTATTAGTGTATTCACATATTAGGCAAATGCAACACGCATGAAGCTTATTTCTTAGGTTCACAAGTTCTACCAATACATTAGTCTACTGGTAAAACTAGCACAAACTGGTAACTGCTTTGCCAATTTTTGAAAGGGATCTGGCCCACGTTTTCGAGGCTTGATTTTTGGTATTGCTTCTATGTCATTATGGCATAAAAATATCCATCACTATCATCAATTTATTCAAGTGATTAAAAGCTGTAACACTGGCCACATTTTTGTTCTCAAAGCTAAGTTATCACTAGGCTGCACTTACAAAGTACAGTACTAGTGTAATGGATGAGACAATGGGAAAAACAGACAAAGGCAATCCTGCTACTGCCACGATAACAAAAGAATGACAGACAGCTAGATCACAAGATTGTTAGTAAGATGTGTATTTTTCAAGTTCATAATAACCCTTCTATACAGTTTCCCATCCCATCCCCAGCCCAGACTTATCTGTAGAATATATTTCAGAATATTTTTTTTAATATGGTGCTGCTGTAGTGTCCAAAGGTTCACAATAACATGCACTGTCATGAAGAACCTAGAAAGTCCTCCTTCGCTGGTCATACCTCAGCAACCACTATCCTAGAGGTTTTGCAGAAGCAACTACTTTTAATAACAAGGCCCATTATGACATAATGAATGCGTGTGATCTGGTGTGTAAGTAAGCTACACAAAGCCACTCAGATCAGAAATTTAAATTCTGTTACTGAAATATGTTAAGAAGCTGCGTCTATTTAAAAACCTAAATAAAAGAGTCTAGTTTACCCTGGGAAAGGATTTTTCAAGGTATTTGGCTCCAGAAACTAAAACTCCCCATTATGTTCAATGAAAAAAATACAGACATAAGGGGTAAGCCAATAACCTTATGTACTTAATCCAGTATCAAATGCTATGGTAAGTTCCCACTCCATGAGAAAAAAACCACTGATTTCAACGACTTAAGGTACACAAAGAGTGCCAAATTACAACACTGCCAGCAATGGCGCTGGCACCAGAAGCATCAACTCAGGTGGGTAGGGAAAAGTAGACTCCTAGTGTAATGGATACTTGGAATTTACAATATGAATTCATTTTAGGCCCCATTAAGTATATAAAGTGTCCTAAGATGTCACAGAGGAATCTCAAGACATTTCTTTCCCTTCCAATGGAGGGATTTTCTTTTTCTTTAAGAAGGCAGCAAAAAGTTAAGCTTTTCTACAAGGAAAGTCTGCTTTTTATGTTTAGGACTACTCAAAAAACCTGCTTATATAAAAAAATATAAAAGAATAAGGGAGTAGAGTCTTGGAATCGTATGAGATATTTGCCCCAATCAAAAAAAACCAAACGACTATTTATGGGAATAAAATGTAGAACAGCACAATACTGTGATATTTGAGATCATGATACATTATCTGTACGTATACTTAGCTATTCATGTTATTGATAAACCATTAGGACACTCAATTATATACCCAATAAAAACACCATTAAAGAATCTTTAAAATTGTCACTTCTTTCTGAAGAAGGCTTTTCTATACACTAAATTTTCATCTAGTATCAGAGTATAGGAAACAGAATCCACAAGGTGCTTTAACTGATGAGACCTCAAGTGCTGTTTTTTTCTTTTTTTTCTTTCTTTTTTTTTTTTAACCCTTTTTTTTTTTTCCCTTTTTTTATAAATTTTTTTTTTTTTTTTTTTTTTTTTTTTTTTTTTTTTTTTTTTTTTTTTTTTTTTTTTTTTTTTTTTTTTATTTTTTTTTTTTTTTTTTTTTTTTGGATAGTAAACAGTTCATGGGGACCACACACAAATACTACGACAGAGGAGCTGTTATATTAAGTCTGTTGTTTGGACTCGATGTTTAGCCCATTGGTGAGGAAGCAGAGAGATTTTAGGACATGCTGGAGCAGCGAACTGAAGGGGAGCCCATCTGAGTCAGTACTTTGTCCAGCCACTGTAGAGGTCCGTTCAGATGAAGCTCAATCCAGCAAGGAGTGCTTGTTACCGTTTGGCGCCTGGAAAGCAAAGAAAGAGGGGAGTAGGGAGTCAGAAAGCAGCTCTGGCTGACATGAAGTGCTCCACCGCGTGATCAAGTATGTTTCCACATATATCTACCTCACAGAAAGATAAAAATCTGCAGCCATTACCAGAATTGTTACTAAACTTTTTTTCAGCCTTTGAAGAAAAAAAAAAAAAAAAAAAAAAACCAACAAACCACCAAAGTTCCAAAACACTCCCACATCTGTAAGACACATCAATAATTACATGCTTGTCCTAATACATCAAGAATATTCCACTCTAGAGAATAACAGTGGTATTGGCTTCCAGGGCCACACCAAGAGCCTTTCTTGTAAAAAGAAATTCACACAGAACTGTCCAGCTCGCGCAGTGCTCACATCACAGATACCTGTGTGCAGCTGTATCTCAGCCTTCACAGAGTCTGCATGCATAAATGGGTTTGAACTCTGTAGACACGCTGAGAAATATGGAATAGAAACCCTTGGCTCTGTCCTGTCAGCACAGCCAGAGAGCACAATGCTGTGGTGATCATAAGGTTTTTGGAGCAAGTGGCACTATAAAATATATAAAGAAACTGGGAGATGTTGTCAGAAACACGACATCAAAACACAGTGTGTGGTTATCCTGTGCTAACTGATGGTATCTCAAAGGAACACCAAACCTTATCTCTGATTTCCTGTAATCTTACACTTCTACATGTGTTTTGTACTGTAACTTCCCCACACAAACAATTTAAGTAAAAATTACATTTCCCTTGCCTTCTAAACTAACTTGCCTATAATTTTCCACATGGAAGCCCTTAATAAGACACCCATGTAGCAAGCCTCAGTAAAGCTGAAGGACTGACAACCATAAAAGCTTCATTCCCTCTCCTGCATATCCTTGTTTCAGAGACCTGCTATTCAAAAATCTTCCTTCTCATCTCCAAAGTTGAGAAATCAGAATTGGACACAGTTTGCCTGAAAAATCCTGTTATTTCACTGTACCCACTCCAGGCATGGGAGTTTTCCCTAACTAGACTGGCAAGACTACTGTTGCTAAGCCAGTTTTTCCTAGTAATTCCAGCTATCCCAAGATTCAAAGGCAGCAGATTAGTCAGACACAAACCCAGCCCCTTCAGTTTTACTGTCGGCACTGCAGCCCTTCGCTTTAAGGAAAGCTGTTTATATAAACAGAGGAACTGAGAAGGCAGAAAGATTAAGCCAGTGAGAAGATTGATCTCAAAAGTTTCAGATTTTCTAAGAGAAGACAGGAGCTGAGGACTGTGCTCTCTCAGCACTCAAACAAAACAGTTATCTTAGCCCCAAAGGCCTATGCCAGAACAAAGTGATACAACAGAAAAACAATTTAAACCACAGGAAATATAATTCCATTTAGTCTCGAATCCTCTCCCAAAGAAGGAAGTTCATTATTCCACTGCTGTCAACTCCCCTGCGATGTGTTTCACAACACACTTCCTCAGAATTTTATAACTGGTTCTGTTCAACAGCCCTGGCTTTGCACTACACTGGCAAAAACTGATAAAATAACAAGAGTCACCGAGCAACCACTTCAAAGCTAAAAATTCAGCCTCAGCTACCCGTGGATTTCCAGTTCATGCATCACTAATTGCACCTCTATTGAACTTTCTTCAGAAGATGATGCTAGACCTGGATAGTTCCTGTGCTAACGTGAACACATGAGTGGTGATCCGAACTTCTCCCATCCTCAACTCAAACCAACACGTCAAAAGCCAGAAGCTGTAAGCTATTTTGCCTACCAAGCTTATAAAATGTATCACCTTGCCGTACCTGCACGTTTATGCACATATGCCTGAAGTGCAAGTAACGCTTTGGCTCTGCCCAAGCCTGTTCTATGAGAAAGGTTTTTTCACACAATAATGAAACACGGAAGTTTTAACAAGAATGATGGGTTTTTACAGTGCTTGCTGGTCCGTTTTGACAAGTCAGACTACATTCATTGAAATTCAAGGTTGTGTTTGCTGGAGCCTTCTCTTCTTGCTTTAATCCCAACTCAGCATAACTTACAAGTTCTGTGCATCAATAATTTATTAGCATCACCTTAAACAGAGATGCAAAGAAACTAGTTCAGCATTATGCCAGTAATCAGTTTCTGTGCTATTTTGGCAGTGTCTCCACTGCAGCTTTTTCAAATCTACAGTGTATGAACAGTTCATAGGCTAATAACCAACATTATCCCTCCTTTGAAACAACTTGACCAAAAGTTCTAACCCAGCACTTACACTCCATTCACTTCAAGCTGCCTCCATGTAATGTGACTGATTAAGCCTTTCTTCTGTTCAGATTAGAATGCTGTATTTAATTATGCCTAAGTGTATACATACTCCTCCGGAGCCAAACCCAATAGCTCTTTAAACCCGAGCCAGATTTTTTCTTATGCACCTCTTCCTAACGTAGAGGTACCAATTTATTCCATTACTCAAATTTCTCATTTCATCTAATTAGACTATTACAAAATTGGCTTCGTTTAGCTGAGAAACCTCCCCCACATACTGACACTAATGTACACATGTACACATTTCAAGAGCAGATAAAGCAACCAAACCCCCCCAGATTCAGTGGAGCCTATATGCCATCATTCAATTTCAGAAAGGACATAGATCTTTAAAAAATCATTATGCATTGCATTAGGGTATTGATGTGTCAGACTTCATTCTTTCAGTGGACAGTTTCTAGAGAGGTTTAAGGGATTTGTTTAAAACCACATCTCTAACTCTCCAAAATAATGAAACTTTTGAAATTGCTCTGTTAGAAATCAATTACTTTCCTTCCTGAATTCCCATGCTACATTAGAAACAGGCACTGTCCTCAACTACAGCTCTCAGTTTGGGCTAATAGAGAATACAACTGGAATCTATTCAAAAGCATCTAAAATGCTATTTTTTCCACTCAAATGACTGGTTTTGGAAGTTTTACTACACAAACACAGTGGTCTTCCTCCTGCAAAGTTTTTTCCACTACAAGTTCCAAAATATTTGCCACCCTTTTAAGTGCGCGCTCTCCAGCAATTCCATTCTGCAAGAGGCACTCCCTGTGACTCCCAAGTCTTCCCGCTGGGTACCATCAAACCCCATCCTGCACCACAGCCTAAGGAGCTCACACTACACTCAGAACAGACTGATTGTATGTTCAAATGTCAAAATGACTGCATGTCTAACAATTAGCAAATAATCTCACAGCACAGGCTGTGGAACTTCTGGATGTTGTCAGGGATTTCACCATAACACACAAGCCAGCAGGACTGAGCAAGGGAACAAGAACTTTGACGACATTCCTTGCTCAACATTTGGCTTCAGTGCAGCACTTAAAATCAAGTTTATGGACTTCATAATTTAGCAGTTCCATAGATAAGAAAGAGAAAAAGGAAAATATGGGTTCAATTTGCAGGCAGCATATGCACAAGAGCACTGAGAAGCCTCTACGTATGGTTTTCAAGCCAGACAAAAATCCTATGTTAGTGGAAGAACAAAAATGAATAACTCTAAAAGCATAGAGGTTTTTCTCTTACCTGTACTCAGCCCCCCATCCTTTAACAAAGCTCATTCTTATGGTGCACATTCTAGTAAGCTGATAAACTGCTTCAAAGCCCTGATTCACAGACTGAGCCAGAAGAGCAGCGAATTCTTGGTTATTAAAGATTTTTAGATTGCATCCTAGAAAGAAAAAAGAGTCAAAAAGGTGCAGTCAGTGAACACTTGCGCTTGCTCCACAGAAGCCCGAAACTATGCAGAAATTACGAAAAGGAAAGCAAATGCCGTCCAGCGAATACCTTCACTGGGTATTTTCCCACGAGACCTTTGTGAGGCTACTAACCTGGTGGAATTTTGCACACAGTTGCAGGATGCCAGCCATATCTTTGATTACAGTTGGGGCTCTGAACAAAAATCGCACTATCACTTAGGCACTCAGCAAAAACTTCTCCACCAATGTAATAGAGACGCACTCCCCTCCCTGTAGCAAAAGTCACAGGTACTCTAGTTACGATATGACCCAAGCAGATTAGGAAACAAGGGAGTATTTTTTTTTTTTCAGAGAAGGCCAAGTTTTTTTTCCTTACAACAGAAACAGAAATCAATTATCCACAGGACCTCACTGCTGTGCTGACAGCTGTAGCAGAACACAATTAACTTGCATTTTTCTCCCACGAACGCACAATATTTGGAGGAGAAGCAGAATAAATTTGGTCAAAAGCGAGACAGAATTTTCTACCCATATGATGGCTTGCAAGCAAATCCAAGCTCAGAAGCAGAGTTCATTAAAACAGAGTTAAAATTTGTGCTAATATTAAAGTGTTGTATGTAAAGCAGCAGAGGTCACTGTGGCAGAGAAGGAAAACACAAGTATACCACTTCAACACTCTCTGCTTACATGCACCCACACTGTTTCACAGCCCACTGCACACCCCTGTGTTGCTTTATCAAAAACAACAGGACTTCATTTAGCCCTATTACAAAAAAATAACCGTAAGAAATCATACTGTCCACTTTTAAATTCTTATTTTGTTCTCTTTCTGAGACTGGAAAACAGATCTGTATAGGTTATTTGTAGCAGAAGGTAAATAACGTACAGTTGATCTCCCAAAGAAAACTATTTATAATTAACAGATCTTTTAAAGGCCATGGTTTCCATTCCCCCCTTTTCTTTAAAACAATTTTTCAACAAAATGTGAGCTGCTCCATTAAAGAGTGAGAGCTCATTACATTTTTGGTTTTCCTCATCATTGATCATTTTGATCAGTCATCAGCACAGGCACAGTCTAGGTTTCTGCATGTCTAAAATCCTGTTAGACATGCATTTGGATTTGGCATTTGGACTTGGCACAGAGAAAGTCAAAAGGTTCTACTAAGGAGGTTGAAGTTTTACTGAAAGTAAAAACAAAAAAAAATTTTGTGAATGTTGCTAATAAAAGAATCCAGGGGGAAAAAAAAATTTACTGAAGAACCTAAAGCCAAGACAGTGCATTACGGAAAACAACATTCTAGATTAACCATTACAAAGGAAATCTTAATCGTGTCAGAACAGTGTGTTATTTCAATGGCAGCTTTTCCCCTTTCAGAGAAGAATTCAAGAAGTACTACGAATATCCATTCTGCATTTCATAAACTAGAATAAACTAGGCAACATGCTAATATTTCGTAATTAAAGCTTAAATTTCAATTATAAGCAATTCTTAATATAAATGCTGCCCAGGACAGAGGTCCGACAAGGAACCTGAAAGGTATAAACCTGCCCCATGGGATGCTTTGGTGCACCATCTTTTTCCACAAGACAAGAGCAGCAACACGAGGAACAGAAATCTCACACAGCTGAGCGGTTTCCTCCTGTGCTGCCTGATGCCTGAGAGCTCTGTGAGTGCTGCTGCCACCAGGTTAGGGGCTACTGATTGAGGAAAGGCAGCTCCTTTCAGCTCCAGCCATCACTACATCTCCTCCCAGTTCCAACTGGCTTAGGCAGCAGAAGCTGCTACATTTCTCTCTGATTTCAGGAGTTGTGACCTCTGTGTCTTTCCACTTCTGTCCTCATCCAGAGAGGCCAAACTTTCCCTGGCAAGCCCTGAGAGGGAAGGCTGATGTCTGGCAGCACAAGGTTGAAAGGAACCCAACACACATCCTACCTGGATCATCCCAGATAAATTAGCCGACAAAATGAAATTAGATAGTTAAAAGATCAGAGATCTTCACCTATATGTCGTCTTGTCATTTCCACCGTAGCATTTCTGTTTACATTGGAAAGCAGACCTAGACAAAATCTCTCAGAATTTGATGGATCTGTAAAGCCATCTACGGTCAGGGAAGGCTGGGACGCGTGGAAGGTTTCTCCCACTCTTTGATTCAATTCATAATATGCTATTGAACACCAAAATGCAGGCTCCGAGTAAGTAACTGGTTGCAAGTCTAAAACAAACAAACAAAAAATTTTAAAAAACCCCAAGTTTAACACAGAATTTGAGGCTGAAAGTAGATCTACCTTCCCTGCTGTTTGTCTCTCCCAGAAATGACAGCAATAGTCTTCTCAAACTACTCAAATTATGTTTTGCTTGCTGTCCTTTTTTACCTACCCCAGTAAACAGAATGGAATTCAATCTTCCACGCAAGGGAAGGAGGAGGGGGAGAAGGGGTGATCTAATCTGACCACAGCTCATTTAGTTCAGTACTTGCATTTTGCTCGGCAAAATGATTAAGCTAATGGTGCTCCGAGCGCCAGACGGTGAGACATTCCTGTTGCCTTTCTGTAACTTGCAAACGTTTTGGCAGCGTAAAAGAAAAGATTAAACTATCAAACACTGAACAACAGAAAGGAAAAAATAATATGAAAATTCTGCTCTCTTGCATTACTCTAGATCTTACACTGACTCTTTATCTGAGGGTAGTTCTAAGCTCCTTCTACTCTCCCTCACTAGAGCCCGGTATCTTTCCTGTGCATCTTCAACTTTTCCTGTGCTGCTTCCCCTTCTTACCTACCCTAATTACTTACTCAGCATTCTGAACAGCATTTTCCTGTCACATCCTGTCACCATCCCTTAAACAAACCCGGGGCAATCTGATCTTCCCGAGGCATTTATAAAGACACACAGCAGTGGCACCTGATCAAAGCAGGTGGGCAACTAACGTGGGAGCAACAACTGTGCTGCAGTCAGAGGTGAAACAGTACATGAGAAGAGCGGCACAAGGGAGACAGCAAGTCTGGACAGCAGTATGGACAGGCAAATGTCCTCTAAACTACTTATTTTATAAATGCTATTCCTGCACACACAAACATATCACTCCCTCTTTGCTAGGAGCTCAACAGTTACAGAAATAGAGCAGTTGTTAAAAAGTTATTAACCCAGCCCTATTATATTTAACATCGGGAAGCCAACCCAACAGTCACCTCCTAATACAACTCTTAATTTCTCAAAGTGCATTTACACTTTTAAAGTAATTATGAAGATATAATGAGGAGTCATCACACACAGAGAAATAATTATATTTCCAGCTTACCCAGACTGTGATTAACTGGAGAGAGAGTACTAGGAGACAGCTCTGCTGGAGATCCTGTTGAAGCAATACAGACAGTTCCAGAGCAAATGGATTTCGTTATTTCAGCAGGGTAGGCACATTATCTACACCAGTTTTACACAGAAATTTTTCAGAATAAGAAACCTCAGAAATCCTACAACCAGTTTTCTGGAATAGAACACACTTACTCCGAATTAAGATTTCATTCAACTTTCCAGACTTCTGGGAACCTACCCCTCCTTGTAAAGACCCAATTAACTGTGCTGTATTTGGCAGAGCTCTCCCTTCATGCACACTCTGTGAACACTATTTATGCACTTCTCCAGGGAGAAGGTAGTGACTTCCCAAATTCTGTGAAATAAAAGCTAAGAAAGAGTGGATGAGACAAGCAAAATATTGCCTTTCTGTTTTCATAGCAGAAGGTTTATCTTGGAAACGAGAAGGCTTAGGGGTGACCTAATGTGGCCTTCCAGTAGCTGAAGGGAGCCTGCAAGAAAGATGGAGAGGGACTGTTTACAAGAGCAGGCACTGACAGGACAAGGGGGAACGGCTTCAAACTGAAAGAGGAGAGATTTAGATTAGGTATCAGGAAAAAAAAAAATCTTTATTGTGAGGGTGGTGAGGCACTGGCAGAGGCTGCATAGAGAAGCTGTGGCTGCTCCTGGATCCCCGGAAGTGTCCAAGGTCAGGCTGGATGGGGATTGGAGCAACCTGGGATAGTGGAAGGTGTCCCTGCCTGTTGGAACAAGATGGTCTTTGAAGTCCCTACCAACCCAAACTACTCTGTGATTTTATGATTCTGTGATCTCCAGGAAAGAACAAGCTAGATTTCCTCATTTGAGGAAATTATTCTTTCCCTGAGGGAGGAAGTTAAAAATTCAGAAAAACACGAATCCTCCAACACAATTTGCACACTAGAAGGCAAAATACAGAGAGGCTTTCACAGAAACATTCCCACAGTGACTGCTGATGTCAGGCTGTTATTTAGTTAAGGTACGTATTGTCTTACAGTGGGAAAATATTGCAGTTCTTACAGAAACTGGTGCAGTTGATTGCAACTAACTAAAAATGGTTGCTAGCATTAGCTAACCAAGCACACCCAAGTCCACTGGCACACAGCAGGAGGTTCTTATCCAGCACATTAACTGCGCTTTGTCCAAAGTCTAAGGTCAACCACATTCTGTAGAAACCCTTTCCTACAAAGGCACAAATGCCTGATGTTTCCACGGCTTTTTCCACAGAGCTTTACATACAAGAATTAATTTGAAACGCAGCAAAAGTGATAAGGCTGTCAGAGGCAGGTTCTAAGAACACAGATTGCCGGCAACCTGTTTATTAGGCCAACAGACGTTCTGCTTCAATGAAGCTGTTTACTAGGGGATGGCTGAAACCAATATTAAAATCTATTTTAAGGATTTCTGGTGAAGATTTAATTAGACTTGTGTACACTTCTGTTATGTAACAAATGTGATGCACTTAATATAGCTCCGAATGTTTTAAAAGCATTTCCCTAACAAAAAAATTATTTTGCTCACAAAAGACCGAAAGTGGTATTTTAAACAGGTTGTACAGAGGAAAACTGCCATCACCTTTTGGGCTGAATTCATGCTCCTACGCAGAGGGATCACAGCTACTAATCCAAAGGCTTGCAAGTAGTAAGAAATAAATGTTACCTGTATCCATGCTTTGGTTCAACTGCTGGTCACTTGTTTCTCCATCTTCACTGATATATCCTGGAGGAGGTGTTTCTGTTAAAAAAAACCCCAAAACTAGTGACTGCTTGAATGACTGGGGAAACTTCTGTAAGACTTGGTGTTTTTATCACCACGTTTTCACGAGCCCCATGATACCTGTACACTGAATCAGAATGTCACTTTGAGGTTCCTTTTTCCTTCCAGCAGGACTTCAAACACATTACCTGCCTTAATTCTATGTAAAATGTATCTTCTTTTGTAGGCCAGTCAACTGCTCAAATATATGTAATTAACAGATAATCTTTGTTTGTTCCATTTAAGACAAGATACAGTCACTACAATGAGTAACAATTTTGCAATTGTGATCAACAGCTTTCATATTTAGTAGAATTACAAATGAATAAAACCATCTGGTGGCTTCCCCAAAAAAATAACGTGAGCTATCTTTATGTAGTATAACCACTAGATCAGATACCCTCCCACACCTTACTGAAATAGTCAGATTTTAAGATTATTTTTCAGCTCAGTCCCCAAATCCTTCTTTCTTCAACACCCAACAGTTGATTTCTCTCATTTATAATAACTATATTAACTAGTTACACTGCACAAGCTCTATCAAGCTTTCTTTAAAGACAGTTACACAGACCAAAGTAAGATCAGAACCAACTGTGAAGCATTCTGATACCAGAAACTGTGTCTAATTCCACAGAAATATCTTCAAAACCCAGGAGACTACGCCTGTTCCTCTTCTCCATTCAACATGTTCTTTGTAATCCAGATAATGAGTTAACCAACTGCCTTTCAGGAAATAATTTTCTTTGAACTGGGCAAATGTCTTTTCCTACATATTAAAGGCAAACCCTGGATTTCTTCAGTGAAAGTGTTTGAAGCTAACTATCTCTACAATCACCTTAGAATTGTCTCTGAAACTTCCAGAGATTAAATACTTTTAATTACATTATTACCAAACAGCAGAAATTTAAAGATAAAACCTTTTTGCTTAAGAAGTAAAATAAAATTGTATCAAATATCATGCCTAAGATGTACAGCAATACAGTAAGATCAGAAGGAAGTCAGTGAGAGGAAACTAGATTAAGTCAGTTGATTAAATTAAAATGAACTGAGAGAATTTAATCTTGGATCCATTCTGTAAAACGAGTGTGCAAAATACAGATGTGACAAAATTCAAGTGAGAAATTAAAAGGGCGATTAAGGGAAATCTTCACTAGAAAGAAGTATGATAACAAAACTCACACTCGTTTTGGACATTTTTTTACAGAATCCATTGTGACAAAGTGGACTCCACCCATGTCCAAATCACTTGCTATAGCAGAGCCCACAGCCATGGTGAAAGGTCAATACCCATTTCCAGTCCAACCCACGCCTCCTGTTTCCAGCTGCTAGTCTAGGCTCTCTGGCACAGATTATTTTCCGTGTCCACCTAGTGCTAAGAATAGTTTAGGGTCAGAGGTTGAGCACCACCACAGCTGGAAATAAAAGCTCAGGTGCAGCATTAAAAATTTCCAGCAGAGCTTGAGTGTTGTGAGGAGCGTGGAGACGATGCAGCTCAGCACATCCAAAACCTGGAAGGGAACACACAGCTCTCCCAAAGGCCACCCTGCACCTTCACCATTACCTGCATCCAGCTGCAGGTGAAACCCAACCTCTCTGGTAGGCCAGAGCACTGAGAGAGAGCACTGGGGTGCAAAGCTACCACAGTTAGCCCGACCTGCTGCTAGGGAAAACGGTTCCCTGAGGAAGGCTAAGGCACACAAGACTTACCAGAGCCTGGCTAAGTGTTCAAGATTAAGTCAGCAAGGTCAAATAAAGCAAGATGCCATGATAGGAACACAAGAGGAGGGTGCCAGTGACAAAGAGGAGGAGGCAAGGTGTGGTTAGCTGCATAAACATTTGAAGGTCATGTGAATACCCGCAATCACCTTGAACAAACTCCCTGCAAATAACTACTTTAGCTCACTTCCACAGCACTGGATTTGTAAAAGGTGGCTTTCCAGTAAGCTGTTTGCAAGTGCTATCAAAAGCCCTCAGATTGGGTCAAAAAAGTATACGCAAGTTAAGAAAGCAACACCAACTTCTAGCACCTTAAACTGCTCTTTATAGGTGGCAACTGATGTAGCCCAAATTAAACAGAAGAGATCAAGGGAGAGATCAAATTAACTGGCTTTTTTTAATGGCAGTTCAATTCTTGGATATATTTGAAGAAAACACAAGCAACACTCTGTGTAGCACACGCAGATACTATTTGTACATTGCACAAATTGGAGTTTCAAGGCATTCATCTTATTCTTTCTGAGACTCCAGATGTGAATTTTCAGCTTGTTCATAACATGGATGCACTAAACATTTACGAGTAAACTTCAGCTTTACTTGGTTTTGCACTCCGGACAACTTCCTGGAGAGATAGGAAACAGGAAGCTGCGGCAGGAAGCAAAGGTCACTGATTTCATGTTTCAGTAGGGATAACAGGGTTTTGGGTGCACTGCAGCACATTAGCCTTGGAGTTTGTTTTGGGGTGGAAAAGGGGCAAAGAGAGGGAGAGGGAATTCTTAACAGTTCAGTGTTGTTAGACTGTTCTTTCATACTAAAAAGACAAAACAAAACCTCAGAGCAGACCTCGACCAACGGTGAACTACAGATTTTAAAGTCACTGCTTTGCGCTCCACACACTGCACGTGATGAGACTGAGCATCAAGTTCATTACTCAATCTCCAATGCACAGCATTTGCCAACCCCTGCATGTTTGTGAAACGGGCTTAAAGCTTAAGAAGAAGGTCTATTTTGTACTCGTTAGCATTCTGAACCTTGAATAAGCTACTGAAACCAAGTAAGCTATTGTGAAACCACAGCAATAGGGCTGCACACAGGACAGCTCAGTTGGCTAGGGTATGGTGCTAATAACAGCAAGGTTTTGGGGTTGATTCCTGTAGTGGCCGTTCACTTAAGAGCTGGACTTGTTGATCCGTGCACGGTCCCTTCCAACTAGAATATTCTGTGATTTTGTGATCAAGTTCTGCAAACAGAAGTGCTTAGGTATTTCCATTGGAATTAACACATGAAATTAACCAGATCTAATCTATCGGTGAATATATCACTTAATTTGATTAGGAGGATGGAATGACCATCTTTGTTCCAGTGCCACAACGCTAAACGTACTGTTTGGAGTAGGAGTTAAGAAAATACCTGGTATGTAATTGCTCTGTGGCTCAATTCCAGCTGGAAAGTTAGTGTTTTCAGGAATGGAATGGGTATAGTCATCGAGAGGCGGCAGCTCCGTTAGAATCTCAGTGTGCCGTGGCACTAGCACAGGAGGCAACACTGGAAAAGAAAAATTAAAAACATTAGTATGACCCTCAAAATATATGATTCTGTAAGGTAACAGGAAAAAAAAATAAATCTAAAACATCTCAATTTCTTCAGCTCTTTTGAAATTATGTGAATCTCAGTACTGCTAATAGCACAGTTACTGGAAGAGATGGATTCCTGAGGTGCCCCAAGTAAGACTGTTCCAGGTAAATTATCTCTGTTCTCCTATTCAGACTGGATCATACTTAGCCAGTTGGAAGCTGCTAGCAGTCCTGGAAGTATTTATCAGGAGTACTGAACACATTTGTAGAGATTTTTCAGTAACTTTACTTTCAAAACCCATCGGGGCGTAATCTCCCGCAACAGGAAGTCAGAAGCAGTCCTCCTACCTGGTGTCTCCACTCTCTGGTAGTGGTAAGGGTTTACACATACTTCATCCTTTTTAAGATTAAAAGCATATTCACAGTTTTCAATTGCTTTAAGTTCATGGTGGCTGTGGAGGTCTGGCCAGCGCCACAAGCGGCAGTAAATGACGTGTGGCAATCCTTTGCGGTGGGACACCTGCAGACGGCCATCGAGGGATCTGAAAGGGGAAAGATGTGGAGAAGGGTTTACAGACTGCCTCTTAAATCACTCGAGCAACAGAGCACACACATGGGATGGGTAGTTTATCCTCAAATTCAGTGCACTGAGACTGCTACTGACACTTATACTCTTGTTAAAAGGCTTCAAAAATGCGATAAAAGTGATCACACCAAGGAGTGTCTTAACTCATTTTTGAGCTGCTCGAATTATTGCCAGTGAATTTAGAGTTCATTAAAAGCCACTTTTAAGTCCAACCAAGTATGACTGCTTCATGTACTTTTTCACATACTTCTTTATTTTAAATGCAGAAGACAGTTGTTAAAAATAAAATAAAAATCACACACTTAATGGTCCCTTCCACTGCTAAACCTCAAAGCTTTGTTGTGGCATGGATGCTTTATGGCTTTAAGCATAAGAATTCCCACAGGACTGCAAATAAGCCTATAAGCAGTCAGCTGCCCAAGTGATCCACACGGCAGTATAACTGTAATGCAAAAAGCATGAATGCACATCTTGTAAGGGCTGTACAGTTTTATCTTCTTCACTTCATCTGCCTTGCTACCAGCTGAAAACGTTTTGCTAGTTTTAAGACAGACTGCATATGCTTACACAAATGCAGATGTTTATGATTGTTATGGGATGGGAGACAAACCTCAATACACAAATCAAGTAATGTGACATGAAAAAATAAAGACCCTGTTTAGAGTTTGCCCACCGTTAACTACTGAAGAATTTCCAAACAATTCTTTAGTAGCTCGTATCTGAGCCAATTAGCAAGATTTAACTCAAAGCTTGTGGCATACAAAGCAGTTTAAACACTTTGTAAGATTAAGTCTAAAGAATTAAGTTTCCAAGTTTGTTAATATAAATACCAAATCACAGCAGAGCTTGCATTTAACAAGTCTTCCCATTCTTTCAATAGCACTGGCGTGAAAAAAGAATACTGCAGAATTAAAGAGTTTCATTGGTCAAAACATCAGCTAAAAAAACTTGGATTTCTACACTGGCAAGGAAATATTTTAAAATGCTGTACCATGAGAGGCCTAGGAAGCATTTTAGTCTATTTTACAGCTAAAGCATCCCATTACAGACCCTCCAAAGCCAATCCCTCCCACAAGATTTTTATGATGCGAGAGAGGGCAGAATATTCACCTGGTTTGTTCAGAGAAGCTGTAAAGGCCTGTTGTATCCCACTGATCTATCGTGTTTGGTGTACTCAGTCCCCAAATTTCAGAGCAAGTGCTGTGCATAAATTGAAAACAAAAACAAAAAATTGATATGAATATGGAACATGGTTATTCAAAACACCATGATGTCAAACATGGAAAAATGTACAGAATACTTCCTTTCACATAGAAGATAGAGCACTATTAGACTTGCATTTAAACTCACATCTCATGCTATATTTTCTATATGAAGGAGGCTATCAAAATGGAACAAGTGATTCAAGGTAAATGATAAATGTTTTTAAAAGGTGAACAAGTTCTCAGGTTTTAAGTAGTTGATACAGTTGCAATGTTCCTTAAAACAGGCAAAACTTCCTCAGCCTACTTCTTTACAATTTCAATTTTAAAAGGTAGTTTCTGGGTTGGGGTTTTTTGTTTTTGTTTGTTTTTAAACATAAACTGCCCTAGGACTTCAAACAAAGGCCATGTGTATCCAAAACTGAACATCACAATCTAACATTCAGGTACCACCACTTAAGCATTAATTTTATTCTCCATGAACATACTGATTTTTTGCTTTTCCCAAAACAGGAAAAATCAAACTCCGAAGAAAAACACATTAGAGCTGATACTTCTGTTTTCTGTACTCTCCTTGATTAAACAGCTAAATATTCGTTCCCACAGTATACAAAACACGAATGTTTAACATAGTTTTACAGAGTAGTATTTTAAAAACTTTAACAGCTAAATTAAGCAGGAAGGGAAAGAGAGATAATGAAGTCTTTACGAAACTGGTTTGAGGACGAGATCAAAGGAACCTTCAAGTTATAGACACAAATTAAAAGCAGCAGCAGAAAACAGCAGCATAAATTAAGCTCAATTCTATCACATACTTGCTCTGTGGCCACTGAAAATGGACAGTTTATTTTACACAAGTAACACACAACTAGATCTCGCACCTCAGAAATGAAGAGAATTTGGTTCACAAGCACCTTAGATCTTTGCTTCCTGACTGGAGAGCCTGAAGCTCCACTGGCTGCTACATCACATTTAAAATTAACAGCCTCTGAAGAGCTGCAACAGAAAGAATCTACATTCACCAAACTCCTGGTTTTAAATATAGATGTTGTGATTTAAATTTAAATTACTATGTTTAGCTGATGCGTTCACGAGTTTGGATTGAGTGCTTAAGGGAGGAGAAGTGAAGTAGGTGTTTTCGTTTCTCCTCGTTACACAGGGAAAATTCATTAGCGTTACGAAACAAAGCAGCAGACAGCGCAGCACTGGATGTAAAACCCACTTTCAGGGCTGACAAACACCTCAGTTCCACAACGACTTTAGTAAACCCTGAGTGTGGGCTACTGGCGAAAGGAATGAACAGGTCTAGCCTCCTGTACCACACACCTCATTTCTAATGCCATCCCAAGGAGGCTGAAGTGGCCGTACAACTGAGCAGCAAACCCAAGCCAATAAACTGACCACAAAACACAATGTGGCTGAAAATACAAGTTTTGAGAGGTACTTTTCAGTCAAACCAATTCTGTTCATGATAGAGCTACATAAGCACTACAAGGAGAAGCAAGAGTGTAACTGTGGGCAGCAGCAGCCTGCATTTATCACAAATTAATGTGTGAAATAAAATATAGCCTTTACTGATTATGGGCACAAGTAAAATCTTGTACTAGATGATTTTGTCTAGCAGAGAGCAGCAGAGAGCTAGAGATGAAGGCTGTTCTGACACAGATTCAGCTCTTCAAAAAAGCCAACTACCCCAAACAAATTGCATCCATTTCTGACACAAGAAGCATCAGAGCTCTCCAGAGCAAATGGGCAAAGAGGGATCCTGACCACCACAGCATCAGCAGAGCCTGCAGCCTCACTTTTTCACATTCCTAGGACGCCTTCAGAAGGGGTGGGCTGTCGCCAGCTTTGCAAGGATAGAAACAGCTGCCCTGAAGACACACAGGCAGCCTGTGGGACACCAGGGAGCATCCCTGCACGCTACTGTGTCCTTAAATACGCACCACTACTGCTGGTAAGACAGATCATCGTGTACATGCAATTAGAGGAACAATCAGCAGACACAAAGCCTGCTGCATATTAACTGACACAGCCAGCTCTGACAGCTCAGTACCTTTGAGCAACAGATTCTTTATACAAGGCAGTGCTCAAAAGCTGACGCTGTCACACAGATTACATGTTCCCAAAATTCTGGGGTGCATCACTGGTGCAAGCATGACGCGCCATGCATTTGGTTCACAAGGCTTTTAAGATGATACAGGCAAAAGTAAAATTTCACAGCCCTTGACAAAGCACAATGAACAGGAACAGTATTTTGTATTGCTAACCTCTTTTCTCTATAAATACTCAAACTGTCAAAGCTGACAGCATATTCTACAACCTACAGAAGGACAAACAGTATCCTGAAGTGACTGTTGTGACAGGGCCATAGCTTGGACAGGACACCATGGAAGCAGGACAGGGTAAGAGGTACAGAAGAATGACCAGTTAGAGCAAAACTGCTCCACCAGTCAGCGCTTACATGATATGCCATCTCCTAGGATGTATAACTGCTTAGAGCTGGGAGAACTATCAATGTTTTACTGGCAGATCCACACTATACTCCAACAATCCACAAACAAATACCGAAGAGTCTGCAGGAAATCACTCTCTGTGATCAATAAAGTCAGCTCAACACAGCTTTTACTGTTCACTGGAAGAAATATCTGAGGAAATAAAGTGGTTTGTCCACCATCCTGCTCACATAAAAGATCCATTGCCTACAAGATGCAAGACCGTCCCCCCCACCACGTCACCCAGGCAATAAATCAGGACTCTTAATATTCACACACACGCACACCAAATCAAAATGAAATTCCTCACAACCCTAAAAACCGTACTTCACACACAGCACTTCCATGAAAGGCCACAGTACGTTCATTCATACACAAGCAACTGCCTGACAGAGAGTAGGCATGCCTGCTCATCCCAGAAAGGTGATGCTGGAAAGGTGACTGAATTCTGAAAGATGTTTTAACCACCGCTAAAACCATCTGAAAGGAAGACAGGAGGTACAGACTTTTTAGTAGTGCAGAATTACAGCCTCAAAATAAACAGGAGTAATTCACTCCTAAATCCACCTTTCTGAAACATTCAAAACCCCTTGTGATCCAAAGAGTCCTTTCAATGCCTTGGTCCATAAAGATTTCAGGACTAACATCTGTACTCATAAGTTAAGCCTCATCTGGAATCATTCCCAATCCCTGGAACATGATCATTGTGTGCCAGAAGGCAGCTAGGACATTCCCCAGCACCAGGCTGTGCCAATTAGTGTGTTCTCCCACACAATTCCCAGGTTTGAGACCATTGGGACCAACTCGCACGGGGCAGTTCAGATGCAGCGCCCTGCTGTCCTAGTTCTGATTTTAGAAAGGAATTTTTCTTTCCCTTTCCCCTTTTTTCCCCCTCCCCCCCCCCTGCATGAATGCTATTCAAGAACCATCAAGTGAACAAAGGAGTCGGCCTGGCTCTTAACGACCGAAGTTAGTCTCCTGGCAACGACGGGGGAGGAGTTGGGAAGAAGGCGGAGTGGGTGGGAGCTCAGCTCGGCAGCAGGAGGGGAGGCTGGAGCTGGCAGGGAGACGCTGCCTGGTTTCTCCTTTGTTTTTTTTTTTTCCTGTGGGAGCTCTCCGCAAAGTTACGGATTGGTTGCAGTCTTGGTTCTCTTCCACCGCAGGACCTCCATCGAGTCGTGAG